GTCGCATTTGTTAAATTTAGTTATAAACTAAGATCAACTTTATTTGGCCTGAGTTATAAAATTGGTGCAAAGCTTTTCCCGGGATACCAGGAAAAAAAGACAAACAAAAAATATCCTTTTGTTCAATTTTTATTGTGCATTCAAATATAATAATATATTTGTGCTGAAAAGTCGTGAAACAATAATTATTTTGTAAAAGTATTCCAGAATCGCTTTTAGCAGATCTTAAACACCAATTGAATGTCTTTATTTTTTAAAGTACCTATACCATTTTCATGAAAAATTCCAAGATTATATCGCCCACTGGAAAGCTCTCTTCAGCAGATTTTAGATACGTGCCACTCAAAAAAGTTTTTTTAATCTCTTTTTTTTTTTTATTCTTTTTTTTTTTTCTAGTCTAATTTGTTTTTTTTTTAATTTTTAATAGTACTTATGTTATGTTTATAGCAGAATCCAAGGCTATATTGCTCACCGGTAATTAATATTGAGAAAGAATATAATATACTTCTTTCAGCTTATTAACAATATCTTCTCTTTTTTCTAAAGGTATACTGTTTAGATCCATTTTTTGAAGAAGATTGTCTAATCTTTCTAGCTGTTGGTTAATACGATGATTCATTTCTTCAATTCTTTTTTTAAAGTTATTTTCTTGAATTCTAATAATTGAGTTGTCGATAGTAAATTGTTCATCGTCATTAAGTAGGGGTAAGTAAGTGGTTTGTTCAGGGATTTTAATACTATATTTATGTGTAACAACGAATATATGTTTGCAAGGTACTGGGTTTCCTAAATATGCTTCACAATTACAGGTAAGGGTTAATACATTATCTCCCGTTTGCTCAATCGTATAATCATTCTTACCCTGAGTTGATTTGACAATATATGTAGACTCATCTAAGCGAAAAATTGAACTATTATCAATGCTAACAGAATTTAATTCAAATTGCCTCCAAACTTTATAGTGCAAATTCATTCTCCCAACACCTAACTCACGCTGAATTGTTTGTTGACGATAGTCAGGTAATATTTTAGTTACTAACTCATTAATAAGAAAATCTATTCTACTATTAAGCCGAGTCATAAGGTAGACATATTTAATTTTTTTATGATATGCCTCTATATAATTATTTGTATTTGTCCCATGAACTAGTTTATGGCGATAACATTCTATCCACATTTCTAATAAATAATATTTTTTTACAATTAAAAAAGAATAAGCATCTGGCATTTACATAGTGGCAATTATTTGCCG